ACTGCGCCGGAAAGCGGGTGCCCCCCTGCTCCTAAGGCAGGTCCCCTATCTAGGGCCACAATGTATATAGGGGAGGTGGGTGCCTACCAGGCACCCTGCCGGCTTGTTCTTTCTTCTTCCTGCGGCTTCGTGGTGGGTTCTTATCTCGGCATGGCTCCGCAACGGCTCCTTCTGGGTTGGTTCCATAGTCCGCAACTGCGCGACGACTGCTGCACCGGCCTCTGTCTGACTGGCTCCGTCCATGCTGCGTCGCCGCATCTCTGGACCAGTCCCCGCCCGGAACGTCTGCAGCTTGATGTCGGTTTTGCCGCCATGTTCTTTATGCCAGATCGCCACCGGCGTCTGCCACCGTCATCTGCCGCCACATGACGAAGCCCCGCCCCCTGCTTCTGGCCACCCCGCTTCCAGCCCTCATTCAGCCAGGAGGAGGCAGGAGAAGAGGGAGGGTAAGTTGCTTCCTCCCCGCCTCTCCCCACCCCTGCCTGCCTGGGGCCAGGGAGGGCCTTGGCGGGGCTTCCTCGCACTCCCGCTGGCCTTGCAGGTCCACCGCCGGGCCCCTGATGTCAGGGGGTGTGGCATATGCTAATGAGTTATGCTAATGAGTTTCCCTAGCTCTTTTTCTACGAAATGACCCCTGCATGGAATAAATATTTGCTACCTTGTTCACACCGTTCTCCGCATATGCTTAGCAGAAGGCTTCATGTCTCCTTTTATTAGTGTATTAAACATCACTATGTTATGACTGGAGAACTGACTAATCTTTTCATGCTTTTCTTCACTTTTACATTTTCAAAAAGGATTTTTTACTTTACCAACGGAAGTATAAACAGCAAAATCAAGATGGTTTCACATTTTCCTTCTTTTTCTTTCACATGTTTCCTTTCACTCAGCTATTCATAATAATGTGAAGCCCTTTTTTATTCAATAGAACCCTGAGAGGTATGACAGCAGCAAAAAAAAAAAAAGCCAAGATGAAGCACATGAAAGAACTAATCACTCTCCATTCAGAAAAAAAATTGAAAAAATCACAGGAAAAGAGGTCACCTCCACAAATGTTTCAGTTACATATTATACAAATGCACACACAGATTTAGTGGCGGAGAAACTGCGTTTCTCATGGTTCAAAGAAATGAATCAGGATGGTATAGAAAAAAAGGAGAGAGACAGAAACTGATATTATGATAGAAGATCATTATGCCTTTTCTCAGACCACTTTTTCCAGCTTAGAAAATGTGTGGAGATTTAGTGAAATAATGCAGACGGATGAAATTTCAGAAGCCGTTGGCTTTATCATGAGACAGCAATTTAGAACAATGAACTGCCTGTCAACTCCCCTTATTCATTTGGTTTTAAACAGTGTCTCGTACAGTCTGTTATGAAGGTATCTTAGGATGAATCCTTAACATCACACATCAACATTCGCTGCAAACGGCTATTAATTTTATATTAATGGATATACTCTAGCCTTAACAAAGTGGTATTAGGAATATATGAGTTTTCTTAGTTCATATAGGCTTTCTGCCTATGTTCATGGAAAGGTGGGGGGGGGGACTGTTCCCCAGCAAAGTACCTTTTTAAAGACAACTTTTGAAAGTTTCTGAATATGTTTTGGCTCGTGAGCTCACATTTTCCCAACAATTCACAAAATTTGAATGAATGGGAACATCTATCATAAAGTCACTTCTTATAGAATCAAGGAATCATATAGCTGGAAGGGGCTACACAGGTCATCTAGCCCAACCTGCTGCTCAATGCAGCGGCAGTCTAAAGCACCCCTGACAGGTGTTCATTCAGCCGCTGCTTGAAGACTGCCAGCCAGGGGGAGCTCACCACCTCTCTAGGTAGCTGATTCCATTGCTGAACTACTCTTACTGTAATTTCTTTCCCCTTATGAGACATTTTATATTGAATGCATTTTGTCTTGAATACATTAAAAAATGACCAATGAAAAAAGGAAAAAGAACTGTGACAATTTAGCGCTTGGTAATATATTCATAAATCATAATATACAATAACAGAAAATAAGTAATATATATATAGTGAACATAGACATAGAATCCACCTGTTAAGGCATTCAGCAATTATAGCCCATTGAAGAACATAGCTATAAGCATAGCTTTATGATGAAGTGGTGAGTGTTTTTGCAATTATTTAAAATATTAATATTTATGTATGTGGAGCGATGTAATTATTGTGTAACAATGAAAATGTATTGTAACAGTTATTGTTGTACATTTTAGAATCAACAGTATATTTCCAATACGTCACCAAGAGAAATGAATTGTTGAAAGACAGTTGATGTAAGGTTTCATACTACTTTTATTCTTATTTATATATTTGCACACTGTTATATTTTTAAATGAGACTTGTATTGTTATATTTGATAAGGTACACATCCTTGTTCAGAAGAAGATCACAGTCGAAACACCATTCCGGAGACCACCATCTACATTCACTATATATATTACTTATTTTCTGTTATCGTATATTATAATTTATGAATATATTACCAAGCGCTAAATTATCACCGTTCTTTTTCCTTTTTTCATTAGTCTTATTACTGTGCCCATTCTTGTTAAAGGTAAAGGTAAAGGTTCCCTTGCTCGAAAGCCAGTCGAGTCCGACTCTAGGGTTGCGGTGCTCGTCTCCGTTTCAAAGCCGAAGAGCCAGCACTGTCCGAAGACGTTTCCGTGGTCATGTGGCCGGCATGACTAAACACCAAGGCACATGGAACGCTGTTACCTTCCCACCGAAGTGGTCCCTATTTATCTACTTGCAATTTCTTGCTTTCGAACTGCTAGGTTGGCAGGAGCTGGAACTAGAGACGGGAGCTCACTCCGTCATGCGGCACCCGGGTCTCGAACTGCTGAACTACCGACCTTTCACAGCCTGAAGTTCAGCGTCTTAACCACTTGAGCCAATATATTACCAAGCGCTAAATTGTCACAGTTCTTTTTCCTTTTTTCATTGGTCTTATTACTGTGCCCATTCTTGTTACTATACTTTAAAAAATACACACACAGTATGTGCATCCATTACAAAGTGTTCATGAGTATGGAAACTAGCCTGGAAGAAGCCACAGTGTATACAAGTGAGTGTGCTAGACAACAAATTCCCCGTTTTCATGATGCAATGGGCATGTGTAGCAATGGCTAGGACCAAAGTCTTTCCTGCAGCCTTCGTCACCACAGTGGGATCTTTCTTGGCCATCTCCTTTAGAGCCCGGACACAGCCACCATGTCACTGCTTCCTATCTGGGCCTCAGTGCCTCACAGGGCTTCAACCAAATTTATTTCAGATCCTGCTAGATATAGTCAGTATTCTTTGTTGAAAGGGATCTGAGAGCAGAGAGGAGTCATTCCAATGGTACCGTTTTTGTGGAGGCGATTTTGTTTTGCCAGCTTTAATTCTTTTCCGTTCTTCCGTTTTCAGTTCTTCATTTTCCTATTCTTCCTTTTAGCCACGCTAGAGACATTTGTTTACACAAATCTACTAAGTGCCCGGCCAGGACGGTACTAGACAGAACAATTACATCAGACAGAGCATCAAACAGCACCTACTTCTTGGGTTTCTGAGTAAGCTGTTTGCATTTTTTTCCTTTTTTATATCCTCCTGGGTAATCTCCTTAATAGAGCTGCATTCATCCCAAGAGGGGTATTTGCATTAGAAACGTGATGGGGGGTTGCAAGTGTCCCTCTGGGCTGGGAGATCTGATCTCCTCCCTCCTTCCAAGCAAAGTAGGATTGGAGACTACTTCACCCCTGCAAATCCTCCCACATACAATGGTTCGCCCCTGCAAACTCTCCCACATACAATACACTGCTCTGCACAGGGCTTTTTTTGTAGAAAAAGCCCAGCAGGAACTCATTAGCATAATAGGCCACACCCTGAAAGCACATCTCATTCGCATATTAGGTCATGCTACCAGAAGTGTGGTCATCCAGCCACACCCACCTTTTGCTTCTTATTCTCTTTACCTAGTTTGTTGTCAAAACCCAGGGCTTTTTGCATGTTAGGCCACACACCCCTAATTGTAGCCAATCCGAACGAGTCTCTGCTGTTGGGTGTGGCCTATTATGCTAATGAGTTTCTACTGGGCGTGGCCAACTTGGGAGTTAGCCGGAACTCCATTCCTGTGCGTTCCTGCCCCAAAATAGCCCTGGCTCTGCAGCTTAATCTAACATCTCAAAGGCCTCCCAGAGCAACACTCTGCCTTGCAGTATAAAGTGTAGACCCAACATCCCGATTAAGGGAACATGTGGGAAATGCTGGTTATTAGGCATGCCTGCAGTTTACAGTGTGAGACAGACCCTGATGCAATCAGAACATACTTGATCTGATGCTTTCCCATTACAGACTCAATCGATAACAAGAACTCATCCATGACACTCAGATCTGAGTAGCTGTCTGTTATTTTTTAATGGATTACTTAAAAAAAAAATCTTCTAAGCACCTCTCATCTACAGTCAAAATGTTTCAGTCTGTAGTGCCCAGGGCTTTTTTTGTAGAAAAAGCCCAGCAGGAACTCATTAGCATAATAGGCCACACCCAATAGCACAAACTCATTAGCATATTAGACCACACCCCAACAGCACAGCTCATTAGCATATTAGGCCACACCCCATGTTACCAGAAGTGTGGTCATCCAGCCACACCCACCTTTTGCTTCTTATTCTGTTTACTTAATTGTCAAAACCCAGGGCTTTTTTTGTAGCAGGAACTTCTTTACATGTTAGGCCACACACCTCTAATGTAGCCAATCGCAATGGGTTTCTGCTGTTGGGTGTGGCCTATTATGCTAATTAGTTCCTGCTGGGCGTGGCCAACTCGGGAGCCAGCCGGAACTCCGTTCCTGTGCGTTCCTGCCCAAAAATAGCCCTGGTAGTGCCAATGCATCCATAAGGATACTCCATAACATGTTTTCTCATTTTATTTCAATTTTCAATTTTTATTTCAGTTTTTCAATTTTCTTGGTATACGGGCCAGAATTTTCTTCTTACCTGAAGTCCAACACTGTCTGCTTGTCCACCTTTCACTAGCTGGGAAATAAAAAGACCACAGCCAAATTCAACACCACCTCTCACACTTATTCCAAGTCCTTCAGGGTGCAGACGATCCAGCCTCACTTCTTTCAATTTTCTGCAAAGTTGGAAGGTAGACTAGGATAACCAGTTGTGACAATATCAGTATTTAAGAACAAAAGAAGCTCTTGAGACCAAAAGTCCACTTTGCCTACCAAAAGTCACTCTAGTTCCCCCTGCTGCCAGCTAGAAACCATGGACGTTTTATGGAGCCATCATAGGCAATAATTATGGACAGACCAACTCCACACAATTTTTCCTACTCGTCTTTTAAAGGAATCTAATCTACTGACCATTATCTCAGAAGTTAGTTATGTACTTTCTGCTACTATATATATATTTTAAATAGAGAGGCCACTGACCAGAACTGTACATAGTATTCCAAATGCATAAGAACATAAGAGAAGCCAATGTTGGATCAGGCCAATGGCCCATCAAGTCCAACACTCTGTCACACAGTGGCCAAAAATACCAGGTGCCATCAGGAGGTCCATCAGTGGGGCCAGGACACTAGAAGCCCTCCCACTGTTGCCCCCTGCCCAAGCACCAAGAAGACAGAGCATCACCTACCCCAGCCTGTGAGTTCCTATCTATACCTTGTGGCTAATAGCCACTGATGGACCTCTGCTCCATATGCTTATCTAATTCCCTCTTGAAGCTGTCTATGCTTGTAGCCGCCGCCACTTCCTGTGGCAGTGAATTCCATGTGTTAATCACTCTTTGGGTGAAGAAGGACTTTCTTTTATCTGTTCTAACCCGACCGCTCAGCAATGCAGCTGCACCATAGCTTTATATGAGATTCATGCACTGTTCTATACCTACCTAGATCGCTTAGGTGTCAGTTGATCATATTCCACTTGATGTTTCAAAGGGATAAGAGGACGAATGGCCTCAAACAAAGGCAGTCGACTTGGTTCATTGATTACATATTTTAGATCTCCCACCAACACTGGAAGATTCATGGATCTACAAAATGAAGTTGAGGATGGTTAGCCTGGGAACGCACAATTAACTGTTGATAATACAATATATTATGTTATCTGACCATTAGTTACACTAAAGGTTTTTTTTTCATGATTGTATTTTTCTTCTCAGAACAAAGTACAAATATTTCTTAAGAAGTGGTAAAAGATGATATCTTCACAGATTATCAGTTGATACATTGCTACATTTATCCAGTTTTGCTGTTAGGAATTCTAATGCTGTATTTTTATTCTGAAATTTAGTTTAGAGGGGATTTATTCTGTTACCTTTTGTTATGTTTGAAGTTTTCTCGTCACTTGAAAACTTCATGGCAGTTTAATATGGCAGAACTTAGCTTTGGGCCACAGGTCTAATACAATCTTGTACTGCAGTGTCTATATTTTAGCCATGTAGTCATGGCTAATAGGCATGGATATCTCCCACTCCCAGGTTCCTCTGTCCGCTATTGCTCCAAGGAGTCATGAGGGGAACATAAAAATAAAAAACGGCAAAGTCAGCTGTGTCACTATGATTCCACCACAGAGTTTCTGGTGATTCCTAAAGCTACCCTATGGGTCCGTTCAGATGGCTCTTTGGATCTGCACGAGGCACGATTGCCTCACGGATCTAAAGGTAATGTCCAGACACAAACATCTGGGAAATGTCCCTCTTCCGTGGGCATCCCGTTTTGCCGCGCTTCGGAGCCGTACTTAAAACATACCACTTTAAATCTGGGGGTTTCGGTTACCTGCGGGGCAACTGCGGACTTTCACCCGTCTGATCATTCCACCAACGTGCAATCCTCCAATCGGGGTGGTCTGATGTCAGACCATCATGAGCGGGCGCCATTTTAAAAAATCTCTACACATGCGCGGATCAACAAGGACGCGCTGTCACAAAAAGTTTTCTTTTAAAAACCCACCGCACGCCACCTTCAACAAGGACGCGCTGTGATGCCTATGCGCATGCACAATTTTTTTTTTAAAAAAAAACACCCACTGCGTGTGCCTCCTTCAGTGGACGCCATCTAGACAATCCACAACGGAGGCAGCGCACAGTAAGGCGATTCACCAGGGGGGTGTCTGGTCGTGCTACGATGGATTAAAAAGATCGGGATCAAATTCAAATTCAAGCTGGCATAATGGCGGGATTAGCTGCTCATCTGAACACACCCTATGTCACTTCTGTTTTAGTATATGTGCTTCCCCAGAACTGACACAAGGACACAGCTGATGTTGCATGGCCCCCCAATGTCTTATCCCTAATCCTCCCACGATTTAAACTACTTACAGCGTTATCCCAACCATGCACATAAGGAAGTAAGCCCAATCTCAGGTAGCGCTGAGTGTACAGTTAGTAAAATCTGTCTGCTTAATAAAGTTGCATGCAGCTTTCTGTTACTGCCGAGCATTTTCTATTATGGGCACCTAACTGCCCAGTTACTAACACACGAGGACTATGGAACAGATGTCACAAGCTTGCAGCTTGAAGGAAAAGAAAAATGAAAAAGTACTACAAAACCAAAGGCCTCGCCAAGGAGCCTGCAATGAGCAGGCCTTGGTCTTTGGCATGGAGGAAATATCAGCAGTTTCTTTTAATGATTAGTTCCTACACCAGTTCCATTTACTATCCCCAGTGCGTGGGCCAAATGGAACTGCAGACTTGCACTGTTACAAATAATTTCAAGGTTAAAAAAACCAAGCCTAACAAACAGCAGATCTATGCAGTAGTCTCTCTAATGGGAGATCAGGCAAATGATATCCTACTCTCAGTCAGGCTGGGGCTGCCATAGGGCTGCCAAATCCCCCCGGGGGGCAGATTTCCCCCCGCTTTGGAGGCCCAATTTCCGCCCTTGTGGAATCGGGTCCCGGGGGAAACCCCACCCCCGCGTGCACGTCACAGGAAGTGACGTCATGATGCCGGGCACGCTGGGGGCAGAGCACAGCCATTTGAGGGGAAAACTCTATGTTTTCCCCTCAAATGGCTGTGCCCCACCCCCAGCGTGCCCAGCGTCATGATGTCACTTCCCTGTGACGTGCATGCGGCACGCACGTGCCAGGAGCAAACCCAAAGTCCCCCGCCAGCAGGTAAGTCCGGACTTGGCAAACCTAGGCTGCCAAGCCACCCCCCCCCAGCTTCTGCCTCCTGCCACCGATCAGCTGGCAGGCAAGGGGGACTTATAGAGTTGCCAGGTCCTACCTGCCCAGTTGGGGGGTTCCCAGGTCCTCTCCTGGATATTCTGGCCACATGCGCAAAGTGATGACATCATCCGGAAGTGACGTCATTGTGTTGCCGACATTAGGGGGTGACACTAGTTTTTGAGAAAAACTCTATGGCTTTTTAAACTTCAAAACCATAGAGTTTGTCCAAAAAATAGAGTGTCGCCCCCTGATGTCAGCAACATGATGACATCACTTCCAGGTGACATCACTGTGCTGTCACATGGCAGTGTCCCTGTTCGGGGGTGGGGTTTCCCCTGCCAGCCAGCTGGCAGTGAGGTAACACCCACTGGTACTTGGGGAATGGGAACCCCAGGGACTTACAGGCAGTAGCGGAAGGCCTAACCCACCATGGCAGTGACATCACCACGATGTGGTAATGTCACTTATGTGTGCATGAGAAGTGAAATCATCACATTTCCAATGATACAGGATACTCTGGTATTTGGGCAAAAACTCTATGGTAAAAACAGCTTCTACCACAATTTTTGCCCAAACACCAGAGCACTGCACATTGCCGCCGATGATGTCACTTCCAGTGCACGCCGGAAGTGACTAGGGTTGCCAAGTGGACTTACCCCTTGCAGCGGGGGAGCCTCGCCGCGGTCCGGGAGTTGTTGCAGGACGCGCGACGTTGCTGACGTTGGGGGCGTGGCCGAGCTCGGCCACGCCCCCAACGTCAGCAACGTGGCTGCGTCACCTCTGGTGATGCAGCTTCGGGGGCGGGGTTCCCCCCGGGGCCCAATTCCGCCGCGGCGGAAATTGGGCCTCCGAAGCGTGGGATTCCCCGCCCCCTGGGCCCATTTGGCAACCCTAGAAGTGACATTGCCAACAACGTCATTGCTATACCAGGTGAGGCCTTCCCCTGCTGCCAGTAAGTCCCCACTCCGTGCACTAGTTGCCAGGCTGAGTGAGAATTTTTAAAAGTGTGACAAAGTGCTGGGAAATTCTGAAAAACATTTCATTTATGAGGCACACTGTGATCCATGAAGAGGCAAGATTTCATTGATGCATACAACATGACAAACAAGCCTGTGTGCCTGTACATGATTGCATTAGCTTGTTATACTCATTAGCTGCCCCATTGTAAATATGGCACCCACACAATGCAATGAAGACAGGATCATTTTAAGGGCTACTGGACTCAAATTGTCTGAGAAATGAAATCTTCCTGTCTTGCCTGTTGAATCCTACAGACCTATTACATGAGCTGTTACAAGAAGTTTGTGTGGGGCCTAAGTCAAGAACAAGCTTTTCAGATTAACCATATACCATCTGTCATGGAGACTTCCGACGGAAACAGATAAAGTTATTATTTCAGTAGGTGCTTTATCTTACCTACTGGGTTCGGTACTGAAATAATACCGAGAGGAAAGCCAGCTCTGGTTAATCATCTTGTCTCAAGGACTATGCCCAGGGTTGTCAGTCCCCAGGTCCTGGCAGGGGTTCCCCTGGTTTTGGGGGCTTGCGCCTGCTGCCAACCAGCTGTGATGTCATCATGTTGGGGGTGTCACGCGATGACACTCTGGTTTGAGGGCAAAACTCTATAGTCTGAAGCAGGTTTTACCATAGAGCTTTGCCCAAAATCCAGAGCGTTGCTGCGCGATGTCCCCAATGTGATGACATCGATGTCATCATGTCAGGGACATCCCAGGGCCCCCCCCCCTCCAAATCTACTACTATGGATGCAAACCTTGTATTGTGTTGAGCTCTGCCACTGCTTAGCATAGAATAATTCTGCGGAGGTCAACATAATGGCTTCTCAATTGTTACGAGCTTTTATGGATAGTAAAGTTTCTATCAGGAATTCGGATGCTGTGCTTCTGAGTACCAATCCTTCAAAGCGACATTGTTCAAAAGGTACATCTATTACAGACATAAAATAGTTTTACATTTTGAAGTATTTCATTTTGAAGGATTGGTACTCAGAAGCACCAGATACGAGTTTCTGATGGAATCTTTCCTGTTGTGAAAAAAAATAATCATGATAACAGAACGAATCTTTAGTGCTTCTGTTGATCTCAGCAGAATTATTCTAGGCAAAGCGACAGCAGCACTCAACACAATACTCTGTTTGTGCTTTAGCCAACATCTGTCATCATAGATACTAGATATCCTAGTATATTACTTGAGGCACAAGTGATGCATTATTAATGATAATTAAATGCTCACTATAATGATGCTATCCACAAATAATAAAGGTGAATCAAACTAAAAATGCAAAATATTTGCACCTGGAAGAAACAAATAGCTGTTGCTTTGGATGACATGTTTCTTGCATTAGTCTAGAATGTATATTAGACATAATATATAGATTATAGCCACAAAATAAGCTGATTTCTACAAGCTGTTCACTAATTACCTAAACCTAATGTAGTTCTAAAAGTAATATACCAAAAGCGTGGCTAACGTAGTCAATTTCAGCAGAAACAAAAATAGTTTTGTAGTATCTTAAAGACTAACAAAGTTAGTGAACACGTGAAGTTGCCTTATACTGAGACAGATCTCCGGTCCATTTAGCTCAGCACTGTCTACTCGGACTGGCAGTGCTCCTTTCTTATCATGACATCACCTTTCATAGACCAAAGCACACTTTATTTGGTGCATGACATGGTAGCAAAAATACTGTCTGAATAAAGGAAGAGAAAAAAGTTTCTTTTTTCAGACAAATTGAGCTACAGAACAGACAGCAATCGATGAGATGCAGAACTATGTCAAGCACAAATGGCTACAGAATACAACCAAATGTACAAAAACTAAATAATGTGGATATGGATCACTCTTAATACAAACATTAATGCGAAAGCATTTATATACATCAGCCATGAACATAGTGCTTTGACGAGCAATGTAAGGCAGAAACACAGATTATTCCTCAAACTGCTTAATCTCTAAATCCCTGAAGAAGAGACAACCGAAGTAGGATTGGTGAGTGAAGGAAACAGAGAGGCAAAAAGCAGCAGAAGAATATAATTATTTTATTTAAGAATTTCTGTGCTGCCTTTCTACCCAAATACAGCCCCAAGGTGGTGAACATTAAAACATTTGAACATTAAAACAGTGTTTAAAATAATATATAAATAATTCAGTAAAAAGGTAAAGGTAAAGGTTCCCTTGCTCGAAAGCCAGTCGAATCCGACTCTAAGGTTGCGGTGCTCATCTCCGTTTCAAAGCCGAAGAGACAGCGCTGTCCGAAGACGTTTCCGTGGTCATGTGGCCGGCATGACTAAACACCAAGGCGCACGGAACGCTGTTACCTTCCCACCGAAGTGGTACCTATTTATCTACTTGCAATTTCTTGCTTTCGAACTGCTACGTTGGCAGGAGCTGGAACTAGAGATGGGCGCTCACTCTGTCATGTGGCACACTCGGGTCTCGAAGTGCTGAACTACTGACCTTCCACAGCCTGCAGTTCAGCGTCTTAACCACTTGAGCCACCACAGCTCCTTAAATAACTCAGTACAACACAGGAAATACACAATACCAAAACCAGGGAGGAGGGCCAATGGCATACAATGGAAGTAACGAACACAAGTTTTCACCCACTGGAAGAAAACAAGAATGGAGGGAAACAGATGAATCTCCTTGGGGAGGGAGTTCCAAAGTTTTGGCACCGTGACGAAGAAAGCCCTCTCTTAGGTTTGCTGCCCATCTAGCCGCAGATGGCAGGGGCACCCAAACCAGGGCCTCCCTAGATGATCAGGGTGGATGGGTAAAGGCAGTCCTTAAAATATGCTGGCCCCAAGCCACCTGGGCACTAAAGGTTAATACGAGACCCTTGAATTGAGCCTGGAAGCAAAGCGGAAACAAGACTGCAGTGATATGGTCCCTATGACCAACTCCAGTTCAAATCCTGGCTGCAGCATTTCGCACCGATTCGTGTTTCCTAAGCGTATTCCAAGGCAACCCAGCGCAGACTGCATTTCAGTAATCTAATCTAGATTTTAGCAGGGATGCCCCAGAGTGGCAAAGATGTTTTCACAGGAAGGGCCCATTTCCTTTAGGGAGAGTGCAACCCCATCCAGAACAGGGGATATCCCATTTCCTGGGTCAAACCTTCCCCCCACCAGTAGCCCTTCCAATCTGTCAGGATTAAGTTTCAGTTTGTTAACCTGCATCCATTCCAAAACTGCCTTCAGGCACCTGTTCCTGGTTTCCACAGCCTCCCTGGAATCAGCTGGTAGTGTGAAACAGAGCTGAGCGTCATCCGCATATTGGTGGTAAGGCAACTCAGCCCAAGTCTCTGGATGACCTCTCCCAGTGGCTTTACGTGGATGTTGAAAAGCACAGGGAACAAGACAGAATCTTGAGGGACCCTGTAGGCCAGGGGCCAATGGGCCAAGCAACAGTCCCCCAGAACCACACTTTGAAACCTACCTTTGAGGTAGGACCAAAATCACTGCAGAACAGCGTTTCCGAGTCCCAAACCTGAAAAGCAGTCCATAAGGATACCATGATTGATGGTATCAAAAGCAGTCAAAAGGTCTAGGGGAATTAACAGGGCTGAACTCCATCTTCCAGTGCAGGCCATCTACCAGGGCAACCAAGGCTATTTCGGTCCCATAACCAAGCCTGAATCCAGACTGGAATAGATCCAAACAATCCACTTCATTCAAGAATCCCTGAAGTTTCCCAGCTAACACTCGTTCAATCTACCAGTTCAAGAATGGTAGACTTGAAACTGGTCAGTAGTTATTCATCTCTCCTGGGTTCAGAGTAGGTTGTTTGTTTTCGGAATACACCACTGCCCACTTCAAAGCAGGAGTGACCATCCCTCTGCCAAGAACTTTGGTTCATTAAAAATGGAGATGGCTTTAAAAGTGTGGTTCAGTCTGGCTGTGGCCTGCTCTTGTTAAAAAAAGTTGTCTTTAAGACTCCTTAGTTTCACACAGCTGTGCTAGGAGTTAGGGTTGCCAGGTCCATATCTGTTCCCAGTGGGGGACTTTGGGGGTGTTCCCGGAGGGGGCAGGGCATCCCCAACGTGATGACATTATGTTGGGGATGTTCTGGCTCCAAGCCCTGCCCCCACGGGGATGGTCCCGCCGCCTGTGAGCCGCAGCAGGAGGGCCCTGCTCATTGCTGCTCAGAGATCCGGCGCACAGGGCCCTTTCCCACCGAATGCCTGTACTTAAAGGGTTCCTTTTAAGTGTAGGCAGCCAGAGGGCCCCACACGCCCTATCTCTGAGTGGCAATGCTCTGGAGCCGCTCCTCTCCCTCCTCTTTCTCAAGAGAGAAGGAAGAGGGGTGGCTGTGGGTGTTGGGGCTTGAGTGCAGGGCTTCCCCCGCCGGCAATGCATTGAACCCCCCCAAAAAGCGGGTATCCCCCGCCAAACCGGGGGGTCTGGCAACCCTACTGGGGGGGGGGAGCGAACACTTCTGCACCTGCAAGATAACATGTTCCCTCTCTGGCCTTGGATTTCCTTGTTAACATTCCAAAGCGATTAAGACCTGTGGGAAAAAACTGGTGCTGTGAAACTGCAGATCCCATCACCTGTTCTTCTGACATGACCAAAGACCAATCAGAGATCAATGAAATCATCCTTTCCTTGATTGGCCTTCTTGTCTCTGGAAGACATTGCTTGAACCCTGATTGGTGCCCAGGCCTAGCAACCATTTTGGGTTTCGACAATAAATAAGTTACCTTAACTCCTATTAAAGGGGCATGATGGTGTATATATAGAGAGATATAGATATAGACAAGGGGCGGGACCCACGATACTCGCGGGGGGGGGACCTCCACACTTATGAGGCAGAGGAGGAAGCAGCAGAAGGAGGTAAGTTGCCCCCCATCCCGCCGGTTCCCCCCATCTCCTCCACCCCCTCCACCCCCGGCTCGATCTCCCCCCTGGCTCAATCTCCCCCCCTGTGGCTCAGACGCTGCTCTCCTTCCCCCCCCCCCGAAGTGGCAGAGCATTCCCTGCGCATGCGCAGGGGATGCTCTGTCACTTTTGGGGGGATTTAAGTATTCCCCCAATATTTTTTCTGGGTTTTTAGATTTTTGTGCACACCTGGGGACTGCCCCAAGTGTGCACAAACATCTCCCTCCCCCCCAGGTGCCCCTGATGTGCGGAAATAAGTATCCGCACGCAGGGGGCATGTTCGGTATTAGATATATAGATACATTTGTAACATTTCACCATTTAGTGACAGGAAAGATAAGTGTTTGGGGCATCTGTTAGTTTTGCCATGCCAAGGAAGTGTTAAATAATTAACTTATGTTGAATTCATCCTGATTTTACAAGCAGCAGGCTGCACTTTGTGAGTGGAGAAGCAATTAGACAGGCCCATAAGAAAGCAAACCAGGTCCACAGCCAAAGGTACACAAAACTATCACAAGCCTATCACAAAGACCACATGGACACAAAGAAGCATCTACATTTCACTCCTCTGCAGCTCCTCTTAATCAAAAAAATATCTATGAACCTCACAGCTGTGAAGAGTGGGGAAATATCCCCATCTCCTCTAACAACAACAAAGACAAATGGGTCACATTCCAATTCTATTTACTGTTAGAGCTTACGAAGCTCACTGTAGCCCAAAAAATTATAATATGGAATTTGTTGATGATTTTTATATTGTAAAACACAGTCACAAATAACAATGAAATGAAATAAAAAACAAACTGATTACATTATCAGTATTCTAAAGTATGCAGAGGACATATGTTCCCTAATGACAAAAGTTGCTAAAAAGTCATGCTATGACTCTCTTACTTTCTTCTTTATTTACACATCTTGTAATAAGTCTTGGGAAATAAAGCACTATATTCACAAACAAGCATGGTTATTCCTTAGTTGTACTGGTTAAATACTGAAATCATTTTGCCAACATGAAATTGTGAGATGCTTTACCTAATTTTCTATGAGATATTTATTTATTTAGAACATGTATATCAGAACATTGCCACTCACAAACCAAAGCAATGCAATATAATCATAAAAATAAAATCATAAAAACTGAGTAACCAGTGTCATACTGCCACAGTTCATGTTCCCACAAATGTAAAAACTAAGTACAAAGTGTGAACTTACTGGTGGTACATCCGTAGCACATCGTAAAGATAGTCTTTTTCTGCTTCACTATCAATTAACAGGTCAACCTGAAAAAGGAATAATTTCACTGTTATTTTCTGACAAATTATGGATGTAATCAAACTGCAAAATCTTTTCCCCCCCACAGAATGCAAGCTGAAAGGCAGTGGTTGAGAAGAGTTTGAAACCACAATCATACTTGCTTTAAAAAAAAAGATCTACTGAATTTATGACTAATTCAAAACCTATACATTACACACTACAATGCAGTACATTGTAATATACAAATCTCTTACCCGATAATGACTGTGTTGTTGAATAAATGTTTTCAGAAACCTTTTAGGCCACTCAGCAATGTAGCACATGACCAGAAATAACTATGCCCCAAACAGATATATTTGGTTAGTACTAGATTTAAAACACAAATTTCAGCATCTTTCTGATGGGGCTGTAAACGAGATTACTCCTCTTAGCTCTGATGCCTTGACAGAGCTTGCTGCTCGATAGTTTTTCTTTCCTCACTCTTTGTAACAGCATGTTCGTTTAAGCTAGTGTCCGATTACAAGACTTTCACTTCCCTAACTATTCTAAAAAAATAAATAAATAAAAGTGTGAAGTCCAAGTGTATCATGTAGCACAATTTGCCTTTCTGGGCACTCCTGAAGCCGTACAGACTACCAAACTCGTACCTGAGAAGTTTCCATAACAGGAAATGTCAACGATTTAGGAGTGATTATTTTACTAACAGCCAAACGCTCACTACATAATTCAAAGCCGGTTATAAAAAGAACATATGAAGCCGCCTTATACAGAGTCAGATCATTGTCTATCTAGGCCAGTATGTCTATTCTGACTGGCAGCACCTCTCTGAAATCCATTTAAATAGAAATGTTGGGAATGAAAAATGGCACCTTCTGTATTCAAACTATGGGTACTGAAGCAGAAGAGGGGAATATATACTGCCATCTGTGTAGGCAACATTCAAAATAGCCTTCGTAAAATTCACAGTGCATTACGCAGTCATGCAATACAGTCCTGAGCGTATTTACTTAGAGAGCCAGTTTGGTGTAGTGGTTAAGTGCACGGACTCTAATCTGGGAGAACCGGGTTTGATTCCCCACTCCTCCACTTGCACCTGGCTGGATGACCTTGGGCAAGCCGTAGTTCTGATAAGAGCTGTCCTTGAAAAAAGAGCAGTTTCTGTCAGAGCTCTCTCAGCCCCACCTGCCTCACAGGGTGTCTGTTGTGGGGAGGGGAAGGGAAAGGAGTTTGTAAGCCACTCTGAGACACCTTTGGGTAGTGAAGGGCAGGGTATAAATCCAATCTCCTCATCTCTTTCTTCTAAGAAGCAGATACAAATAGAAGAGGAACAATTTCTTAAAAGTAAACAGCAAGAGTTTTGTGAAAATGGTTGCCACCCTAATGGTTGCCACATAGAGTTTTCCCCTCAAATGGCTGTGGCCCCGCCCCCAGCGTGCCCGGCGTCATGACGTCACTTGCCTGTGACGTGCATGCAGCGTGCGTGTGCTCTGCGCGCGTGCCCGCTTTGGGAGCCACCCCAGAGTCCCCCGCCGGCGAGGTAAGTCGATTTGGCAACCCTAGTCAGTCATGACACCAGGCTCTGGATTTAAGTATCCCCATATGGGGCAGATCAGGCCTCAGGCTTTCAGGACTGATGGCAGGGACTTACCCCGCTGACGATGGCTCGCAGGGTCTGGAATGCAGGAGCAGGCAGGATTTGGAGCACAAGGTTAATGGCCTCGCAAACCCATTCATGCAGCAAAGCTCCATTCCTCACCCCCAGCTTTAAACAGGCTGGGGGAAAGCAGCTCCAGATATTCTAAAGGCAGCTTCTGGACTTCATCTAGCTTGGTCCTCATGGGGCCAGAATCTTGTAGAACATTAAGCCAGCTAAGGCAACGGTCTGGCTCACTGGCTGGAACAAAGGCTGCTATCGGGCCACCGTGTCTTCTCTTCGCTGTGTGAAAAACCTACTACATCCATTGTTCCTGTCTGGTGGGGGAGAAACCTGGAAGGCTAGTGCTCTGGGCCCTGATCTGGCATAGTAGATGTATAACTTTCCCGGGGCTTTTTTTGTTGAAAAAGCCCAGCAGGAACTCATTAGCATAAACAGGCCGCACCCAACTGCAGAAACTCATTAGCATATTACACCACGCCCATGACAGTGCAGCTCATTAGCATATTAGGCCACACTCCCATGCCTTCCCTTGGCTTGCATGGGCGCCCTGCGGCTGCCCGATCCTTCCAGGGGGCCCCCTGGCCCGCCCGCCTCGGAGTCACGGGGGGGGGTCGCTCTCCAGGCCTTCCCTCTGTAGCCACGCACACAGAGATTTTGGCTGTAGTGGGCGTGGCCAACTCTGAAGCCAGCCAGAACTCCGTTCCTGTGCGTTCCTGCCCAAAAGTAGCCCTGGCTTTCCCAAGATCTGGAAGGCCAGCCGGAGGTTCTGGTGTTGACACCTCAACAGCCAAGTCCTTTAGATCAGCCTTTGAAGCGACTTGGTCAGCAGCTGAGGAGGCTGTTATAGTGCTGGTGTTTCCCTGACTTATCTACTTAATCTATACTCCGCCTTACCCCCAGAAATGGGCTCAGGGCGGCTTACAACATAAAACCATGAAACAATAAAACAACAGATGGCAGCAACAAATCATGGCAAAAACCCATGCCTCGTGTCAGGCAGGAATAGGCTATTTTACTAACAGCCAAAGACTCACTACGGTCCCTGCCACATGAAGGGAAAAAAGGACAGGCTATGTGTGGCTTTTAAAAGCCTCACCAAAAGAGGCATGCGGCGGCGGGATCATACAGATCCCGTCAGCCGCCGTGCAATTGCTCCCCGGCACAATCAGATGCTGGGGAGACCGGGGAGAAAGCCATGGGAGGCTGCCGAACTGCGCATGTCTGAGCATGCGCAGTTCGGCCAGGAGCCGGGGATGCGCCGGCGGAAGAACGCGCCGGCGCTCCCACGGACGGCTTTGATGCGGCCTTTCAGAAAGAACCACCTCGGTAGGTGGTTCTTTTTTGCTGCGGGTTATCGTCGGAAGGGCCAGATCGGGGACGGGCATGCAACGCTTCCCAGATGTTGCAGTTGGATCGCACCCATTTGCTCCACCCCCAATCCGTCCCTCTCCCGGCCCAAATCCTCTCGTGTGACCGGGGCCTACATAATTCAAAGCCAATTATAAAAAGAACATAAACTTCCCCTGCTGTTCCTCAGGTGATGTCCCTGGTTCCTCAGGCTCTTCTTCTGAGGATCCTGAGCCCATAGACCACCCAGCAGAGGTCATGAGAGGGGACAGGTTGAGAATATATATAATCTTTTGACCCCAAGAACAGCAAGCTAAGGGAGGCTTGGGGCTGTGGTGGCTCAAGTGGTTAAGACACTGAACTGCAGACTGGCCTAGATGGTAAAATGCAGTCTTTGTCACTAAGGACAAATGTTTGCAGGCTTCCCTGTGACATGCATATGTGCACAATTACTCATGGATTTATACTTGTCCACGCACGGCTTTTCAGCCTATGCACAGGGGTACTTCCTCTCAGGCAGTCCCACCCTCCACTCGCCTGTGTCTGCAGGCTGGCCTGGCATGGAAGCTGCCCTTCACTTGCTCCTTGGACGCTGCAGCCCGTGTGCGTGTGTGTGTGTGTGTGAGAGAGAGAGAGAGGGGGGGGGAGAGAGAGAGAGAGCAGTCACCTTTTTTGTGGCCATGTTCTTGAGCTTTTCTGAGATAGGGTGCTTCCAGA